ATAAAATTCTGGGAAATCGTTGAGAAGCTGCAGAATTGGCAGCTCCTCTAGAAGGGCTGAGCTCCATGAGTGAGTGAGTAAATTTCTCACATGTAGATGTTCAATTTTAACCAATTTCCTTTCTCGAAAAAAAAATTATATACTAATGTCTGTATCCATGCTATAGTCAACTTCTTTGAGTGATTTGACAAATTCTTACGAAACTTGGCATGGCTATTATTCCGTTGCGAATTGGTTCATCTTCTTGCTTTGAATTCCATGTACTTAGTTATTTGCAGCTTTGGGACCATGTTAAGTTCCGAGTTAGAAATTTATACTGAGAGAGGTCTTCGAAATGTAAGGAAATTTTAATAGTTTTCTTCTGCTTTAAGAATACGCGTCAGCGGAAGCCTGAAATCTGTATTTGGCTTCATTGACCGCAATGATTCCTGAGCTGCAGTAGCCAGGAAGCTTTGAAGAGACGTTCTGCTTTGAAATATTTATGAATGAGGGCGTCAAACCGGAACGCTCCCGTTGATTTCAAGTGTCTTGTGTGAAACGAATCACTAACTTCCTACAGCAGTCATTCTCCAGAAGCTAATATTTGCTCAGCCGGTCAAGAATTTCACCCCATTTTATGAAACCTGATGGCTAATTACCGTGTTTGCAACTGCCCAGCATAGTTCCCTGTTCTAGGCCAAGCTTCTCCAGTTTACACTCTTATTTCTTCGTGCTTTAGAACCCAACTTAGTTACCGTTCTATCCACAGATTCACTTACTTACTTACTCATGGAGCTGAGCCCTTATGGAGGAGCCGCCAATTCTGCAGCTACTCAAGAATTTCCCAGCATTTTATGGAACCTGAAAGTTCATTACCGTGTTCACAAGAGCTCTCCACCGGTCCCTATCCTGAGCCAGATGTATCCTATCCATACCATCCTATCCTACCTCTCTAAGATCCATTTTAATATTGTCCACCCACCTACGCCTTGGTCTTCCCTGTGGCCTCTTTCCTTCTTGCTTTCCCACCAATATACTATACGCATTCCTCGTCTTCCCCATTCGAGCTACATGACCTGCCCACCTCAACCTCCTTGACTTGATCATTCTAATTACACTTGGAGAAGAGTACAAGCTATGAAGCTCCTCATTATGCAGTTTTCTCCAACCTCCTGTCACTTCATCTCTCTTCGGTCCAAATATTCTCCTCAACACCCTCAGTCCATGTTCTACCCACAGATTTGTTTTCTCAATTGTTTCAGCCTGCTGAGTTCTCTCCATGTGTGTCTCATGAAACGAATCATGTTCTTGTGGAAATAATCAAATCAGTACCTTATGTTTCTTCTTTAAGCTCCTTTGTCTTATGTACGCCATAAATAAAAGCTTGTGCTCTGTTACGGTTAATTCACAAGTATTGCAGCCGAGGAGTGGGACACAGAACTACATTCTATTAACATTAATGCTTTCAGGGAATAGGGACACGAAACTGTCTTAGCAACAGCGCAACTAATTATCTGTAGGCGTTACCGCCGTTTAGAATTCCAACATATGTTTTGCTTTATTTAGAGCATTCTGTAAACTAACAAAGCTGTCTACTGTTGCCTAATACTACTACCGGCAAATTTTACGGAATAATTTCCAATTAACTGTCTTTACAAGTTCGGCATTCGTAGTTAAGCAGTGGTACTCTGCTCTCTTACTGAGGTTGTAGTACAAAACTTCTTCTAATAGAAAGTTCTCAGGTTACTGCATTGATAACACAGTTATAATAACAGAGGATAATTTATAAATATGAAAAGTTAATGTAACATCACATAAACACCTAAGGGTTTACGAATTCCATGAAGTAGAGACTTTCTTGAGATGTCTGTTACGTGTTGCTCATTTGATCAATAATTCTTTGCCTTCTACAGAACCTGAAAATTTCTTACTTTATTCACTAGAACCTACAATTGGTCTTGTCCAATTTTCATTTGGGTTTATGTGCAATATATTAACTTCCTACACTCCACTACATATTTAATAAAATTCATAAAATATAAACAATAACAGGACACCAATCCTTTGATCAATACCTGAAAGTTAGTGCGCTGAAACAGACGAACACCGAACAATTCTTATTTGTCATTAATTTTTTTCTAAATAGGCAAGGGTGTGACACCTCGCATCTTTCGGGATATTACACCTCGTAATCTGGTGAAGTTTCCAAGGAATACAATGCCTCCATCTTCAGGATCGATGACTATTTTTATTGCCAGTGGGGTGGGACTAAGTCCCTTGTACTGCGACCACTTCTGACCTATTTCACCAGCCCCAGATGTTAGGTGGGGGTGATTGTGGAGCAATTTATGGAATGAAGATTGGCAGGGGAAACCGAAGTACTCGGAGAAAACCCGCCCCAGAGACACTTTGTCCATCACAAATCCCACTTGACCAGACCCCGAGATCGAACTCGGGCCGCCGCGGTGGGAAGCCAGCGACTAACCGCTTGAGCTATGGCGTGGCTCAGGGTCGAACAGCAAACATGGGCCTAGCCTTCAATCCTTATGATAACGGTTTTGACTTCCTCCTGAACATCGGGAGACACCAGAGTTCGTGGCGCAATGTCCCAGAGTCGCCGCCGTCAGACCCTCAGATCTCCATGCTTGCCTTGGCGCCACAGGGTGACGTAACGAGTAGGTGGCAAACAGAACGACTTGTACATTGAACCTCGTAGAGAAGGAAGAGGGAACTGCCAGATAGTTTTATTAATTACGTGCCTTAGATTGTCTGCAGCCGATCAGAGTGGGCGCGCTCTAAGGCATGAACCCTCTTCGTCCTCTCGAATATTGTGGTATGTGTTCGAAACCCACTCGAAGCATGGATGTCTGTGTTCATTTCTTCTGTGTTTGTGTTGTTCCGTGTGTAGGTAGTGGCCTTGAGACGAACTGATCCCCCGTCTAAGGAATCCTACAGAATGTGTATACGATTAAGAAGCTGGAAAGGTGTTCAAGGTTCAAAGGGCTCTAGAGCCAGAAATGGAGCCTGTCAATCAGAGAAATGGGGGGGGGGTGAAGGAATTTTAATGAAGTCAGTTCTGAAGGTGTGGCAGAGAAGTAGAGGCGCATGCCGGACATTGGCGAACATGGGAGGCCAAATGAATAGTTCCAATATGCAGCAACACCCGCAGAAGACCCTCTGCCTCGGAGTTTGTTGTCTTTAGTTTACTCTTGTAATGTGGGCCTTACCTGAGCTGGCGCGGAGAGTCCCGATATGGCGGACTGCTGGGCTGCCGCTGCCGCTGCCGCTGCTGCCATGCTCGCCGCACTGAGGGAGCCGTAAGCTGCCGCAGCGGGATTGTAGTAGCTCCCCACCTGGCCCATTTGACTGGCCGCCATACCTGCAACACAGCACCCGTCGCCACTGCTAAGTATTCAATCGACAGTACGTCATCGTCAGGTAGTGACGTAGACTGTTACGTCATCATTAGAAAGTTACTGCGTTGTATTTTCAAAATAAGCCAGGTATAGTCTTCCGGTGGGAAATTTAAACATATTTACACAGGAAGTTTCGTCCGTAAGTTTCGCTACTCAGAGGATAACGTATTGTTATTCGTCTAGTGACGACTTTACCAAATGCTACTGCATGATGCAGGGTAATTCTTCAGAAACACACAGTCAAGAATTTCTCACATTTGTATGGAACCGGCAGCTTCTTCTTCACAAGAATGTGCAACTGGACCCTTTCCTCAGATACTGGACCCTATTTCCACATCATCATGCCCTCTAATTTAAGATCAATTTTAATATTATTCACANGTGGGGGGGGGGGGGCGGTAAAGGGTGGCCGGCGTGTAAGGCCGGCAACCTTACCGCCATCTGTGGGCCGATTGTCAAGAAGTTGTGGGAGCCTCAACTTCCACGGCCTGTTGCAGGGATACATTTACGTTCAGTCTCCTTCATACATAGGCCAGAAGATGAAGCCCGCTAATGCACTGTTGCGTAAGACAGGAATCTGCAGTATACAGAGACCAGTGCCTTCAGCTGACTGACGCGGTGAGCAAACGGAGACAAGTACGCAGATGTAAGCCCACCTGACGTTGGGACAAACAGCCTTACGAAGACGCCGAAGCTTCCCTGTTGCGGGTTTCCTTACGAACTTGTTCGCTGGGTCGAAGAATTTGTTTTAGTTCGTTGTTTCTGTGAATCCTGAGAGTGCCTGGATGCGGCTAGCTGAAGTGTAGTTAGTGTTTGTCACTAAGTGGTTTAGACAGAGTAGGGAGCCCCATTCAGATGCCTAGAATACAACCCGCCTGGTACTTGACACCTGCGTAGTATGAATTACGTATGACTGGAGATCATTAGAAATTGAATAAATTCTAACGGAATTTGGATGCTTGGAAATCAAACGATTTCAGTCAAAAATAATAAATTGTTTGTAATCTATGCGCAATGGATTTAATCATATCAGCATTCCTAGGAAATGTAGAGACGGGAACTCTCCATTCGGAAAATGTCTTCGCCTTTGTAGTCTACAGAATACGCGTTATGCATTCAGCTAAGGTTTACTTTTCTACAAGAAGTGTCCAAAATTTATTCACTCCTGTATGATCGACACGGTTGCTGTGTTAAAGCAATGCAGACACTTTTCCAGACATCTCCGTAAATGGTGAGACGCATAAGCCTTGTCTTCTCTAGAATAACGATACTATTGAATAATATCTCTCTATCTATCTATCTATCTATCTATCTATCTATCTATCTGTCTCTGTTGTCTAGTGGTCAGAGTTGTTGGCTACAGATCCAGAGGTCCGGGTTCGATTCCCGGCGCTACCAGATTATCAAAGAAGTAGTGGATCTGGAACGGGGTCCACTCAGCCTCATGAGGATAATTTAGGAGATATTTCGAGAAAGTAGCGGCTGCGGTCTAGAAAACCGAGATTAACGGCCGTGGGGACCCATTACGCTGACTACGTGACACCCTCTATCCCCAAAAGTTGGCACTAACTACGCCGACAAGTGGCGGTAGCTCGGTCGGTATAGTTCGCTTGCGGACTAAAACTAGGGGTTTGTCTTTTATTTATCTATCTATCTTGGGTCTTGGCCGCTTTTCAGTTTCTTAATGCTATACACAGTATTCGAGCTAGAGAAGTTATGCCTTAGACCGCGCGGCAATTTGCCATATATTGTAACAAACTCCGAAGTTAACTTTCATCTAAATAATTGCATCCTGATTTGAATTATGTTTTAGATTAAAGAGTGGCCTTTGTCTGGAAATAGGTATAATAAATATGGTTCCTGTATTCGTCCCTACCAAGTGGTTAGCAAACATGTTTCGAATTGGACGGTCCCGGGTTCAAATCTCGGTCCGCAAATCGAGTATTCAGATTTTTTCTGGCTTTCTTCCGTCCGGCTAGACACGTGTCAGGATAAGATCTCAAATCAAACCATCGCCGCTTCTTTCTGAGTTCTTTCATTAATCTTCACTGATCGTCCTGTACGTATAAACTGAGCTACCAGCAGCGTAGATTAAAAAAAGCATAGATAAATTAAAGAAATATTATTTTCGGATTCCCCTTGATATAACGAGCTCTTCTGTAATAACAGAAAGCGTTTGTTTCGAAATAATTTTACATTTCTAGCAGCAGAATTAATATCTGCTTACTTATATATGGATGCTACTTAAATAAGCAACGATGTGCTAATGATGAATAGGACACGACGAAGGACATCAGCATAAATAGGTCACATGTGCCGATGTTCGTTTTATGTCATTGCATCAATTGCTCAGTTATTTACACTCGCTAAAAGCTTTCGCCACAAGTTTTCATTTTTCTCACTTGTTCGTAAGGAACGGTAACAAAACCAGCCTTTGCCTTCGCTATGTAAGGCCTTGTGTCTCTGTTCTACTGCATGCAACAATTGAACATCCAATACAGAGATTTTAAGAAATTTGGAATGGTAATTTTACGAAATCGACTCATCACAATTATGTAAAATGTAGAAACGTTTCTGCTCTGATGTCCAGCTTCATTTGATAAATATTTACTGCAGCTGTTCCAAAAAAAAAAAAAAGTTGTACATAAAATGAAATACATTTTATATATTATGTAAGATTTGAGGTTTTCACGACGGTGACTATGAATAAAGCAGTCTTCTGGGATGTGGCACCGTGTAGATGTGGTGTTAACCGACGTTTCGGAGGAACGTATGACCTCCATCTTCAGGGTAGAAGGAAAAATAAGAAAACCGCAAGCGAGAGACCGTGAGAACCGGCCAAGAAACACTGTAATTGTTTCCATACGTCTGGATGGAACAAGAGAGTTTGCGCAGTACTGCCATTCTTGTAGTGACACAGACCTGATAATTACAGGTCTCTGTAAAGACTGACACTGCGAGACGAGATAATGTTTGTGTGAGTTACATTAACTTGTGACGTGAAGAGCCGCAGCGGGAGAACACTTGGCGCAAGACGAAGCAACGTCACACATAAAAGATCCGAACAATGAACATATTATTCCTGTGAGATGGTAAATTATATATCACTTGTTAGTTTAGTAATCATATCAGAATATTGTTGGATCACATGAACTAGGAAGACGGAATCACAGGGGTCAAATGCTTATTGACTTTTGTGAAAGAAATGGACTGATTGTTACCAACACTTGGTTCAAGAAGCCAAAGAGAAGAATTTACACATGGAAGGCACCTGGGGATTGGAGGCGGCATCAGCTGGAGTACAAATTGTGAAACATCGATTCAGAAACAGTGTGAAGGATGTGAAAACGCTTCCTGGGGCAGATATTGACTCTGACCACAACTTACTGGTTGCCAAGTTTCAAACCAGGTAGAAGAAAATTATAAGATTCCAAAAGCGCAGACCTACATGGGATTTGGAGAAGTTATAACTTCACAGACAAAGCGTGCAGGAGACCCTAGAAGAGAAACTCAGTGCAATTGAAAGTGAAAGC